CTAATGCTCACACAATGAGGCCATCAGTTTTTACTCTTCTCACAGAAATTGTTTAAATAAGAGAATACCAGTTAGAAACACCAGTGCATACAAGGCAAATAATACAGGATGTAACATTACATTTGGCAGGAAAGCATCAGCCTCAATTTTTATATTTTATTACCAGATAGAGATGTATTATCATTATTATTTTTTATTTATTTATTTTGGCAGCTGGCTGGTACAGGGATCCAAACCCTTGACCTTGGTGTTATAAACACCACACAAACCAACTGAGCTAATGGGCCATCCCCAATGTGTATTATCTTTAGAATAAGGAAAGTACATGTTTTTCTTTTATGATAAGGTAAAAAATTTCAAAAATGAAGATGGAGATGTTATATAAATATGACATAGTACTACACTTTTCTTCAGTTAATGGAAAGCTCTTTAGCTCATTAAAAACATTCTTGGAGAACTTGTTATAAGTATGTTATTTGGTTTAGGTGGTCTCAGAAACATTGAAAGCCAGCTCTGTAGAAGCAAAATAACAAAGTTACTATCAGAGATATTGTTGTCATTCACTTTGGGGACTCAGTCTCTCAAAAGGTGTAGCATTAAAAAAAAAAGATTATTGGGCCGGCCTGTGGCTCACTCGGGAGAGTGCGGTGCTGATAACACCAAGGCCCCAGGTTCGGATCCCATATACGGATGGCCGGTTGCTCACTGGATGAGCGTGGTGCTGATGACACCAAGTCAAGGGTTAAGATCCCCTTACCGGTCATCTTTAAAAAAAAAAAGATTATTGGATCACCTTCAGCTGAAAATAGCAGCGGCAATTCTGGCAAAATAGAACAATCTTTCTCCAACTAGGAAATATTACGGCAAGATTATTTTAAACATATTTCTTCTTGGCTCAGAGAAATAAAGATAAAAGAAAAAAGAGGAGCTGAGAATTTAATTGTAGTAGCATGATTAATCTTAATGGAAAATGTAGATTAGGAAAAGCTGAAGGAACAGAAAATTCATAACCTTTTTTTTTTTAGATTTGTAGACTGTTTAGATTTTAATCATATATTTTAATACACCTTTAATAATATGCATTTTTCTTTCCCATTTTAGCATGACATATGATCTTCATGTTAATTTACATTTTATTTTTATTTATTTATTTTTCTTTCTTAATTTTATTTTGTTGATATACAATGAGGTTGATTATTGTGGCCCATTACCGAAACCCCCCTCCTTCCTCTCTCTCCCCCCTTCCACCCAACAATGTCCTTTCTGTTTGCTTGTCGTATCAACTTCACATAAACTATCTTTTAAGGGTAAAGAACATAAGTCGGCAACCCAAAAAGGAAGTGAAAATGGTTTTAATTGTCCAAAAATGATTAATGTCACTAATAATCAAAGAGATGAAACTTAACACCAGACTTTTTTGCCTGTCATATTAGCACAGATCTGGGTGGTGGGGTTGAAGGTAAATTTTCATATACTTTAACATGTTTTAAATTTTATGATGATCATGAAAAAAATTGCTGGTTTTTGCAGACTAGGGAGCATGACCTCTCTATTCCAAATGGTTCCTGTTATCATGCCTTCAAACTTTTACACTAGCCCTTCTATTTCTTTTTTCTTTTTTTTTTTTTTTTTTGGGGGGGGGGGGGGGGGGGCAGCTGGCTGGTACAGGGATGGAACCCTGGACCTTGGTGTTATCAGCACCATATTCCAACCAACTGAGTGAACTGGCCAGCCCACATATTATCTTTTAATCCTATTTTTCCACAAACTTTTAAAAGTACTCTCATTTTAACCATATAGATTGAAAAAGGTCTAACACCTAAGGTAATTAGGTCTTTAATATATGTACCTAATTTGTAGGGTGAACTAGTGTGTGTAATCAAGGGAGCAGTGATGCTAAGAAGGGACAAAGTGTATTTCCTAGAAAACTGGGTCAAGGGCTGAGCTTTAATTCTAGTTTTGCTGTTAGTTTGCTGTTTGTCTTAATAGTCTCTGTGCCTCAATTTCTTGTCAGAGCCATTGTTATTTGCTTAGACCAGAAATTTTGGCAACTGTTTCTCTTACTTCTGTCAGGAAATTTTGTTCAGAATATATCTGCAATCTGACTACTTCTTACCAGCCACCACTGGTCCGAGCCACTGTTTTTTCTTACCTGGGTTAGTGCAAGTCACATGCTCTCTGTGGTCTCCCTGCTTCCAGCCTTGTCCTTTTTTATCACAGCAGTCTGAGTGAGACATGTAGAGTGTGAGCCAGCTTACTTGTGTCCTTCACGTCCTCCAGAAGAGCTACCTTAGAGAGAAGCAGCGTCATCTCCTTGAGTGGAAATGTCTGTCTGAGTACCGAGAGCTGGGTAGAAAACAAGGAGAAGAAGCTCAAGGTTACTCCCCATCCGCTCAGAGTAAACGCCAGACTCTTCTTTTCCCAGTCTCATCTCTTGCCCTTCTCCCCCTTGCTTACTGAGTTCCAGTCACACTCACCTCCTTGCTATTCCTTGAAGAGCCCAAGAGGCTCCTTTCTTGTTGCCTCCGCCTCAAATGCTCTTCTTCTAGATATCTGCATGATTAGTTCCCTCCTGCAGGCCTCTGTGCCTCTGAATTTAACCTCCTCTGAAATGCCTCCATTTGCGCTCTGTCTCCTCACCCTGGCTGCTTCCTCCTAGCACTTACTACTTGTTTATTGTCTGTTTCCTTCCACTAGTGTTAGGACTTTTGTTTCTTTCCTTACTGAATGCCCACTTAGTAGTTAGGCACTCAGGAAATGTTTGTTGAATGACTGATGGGATTTCCAGTTCTTCCTTGGTGCTTCTTCTCTGCCTAGAGAGATACTCAGGCCACCCTTGTTCTTTGGCCAGGGGAGAAGGAGCACTGCCACCTGTGTACTATGTACTTTCACAAATGTAGTCTGTGGTCTTCTTCCCTTTTCTCCCTGCACAGATTTTTCTATTCTAATCTTCTTTTCCAGTCAAGCAAATAAATCTGTTTTCAAAGTCTGTTTTCTGTGTTTGGGACCAATCCTTTCCTTTTTCTGAATTTGGTATCATTTTATGTAAATACTTTAACATTTTGGCATTTTTTCCTTTGTTCAGCTGGCAAACGATGATTGTAGCAGATCCTGTGAGCCAGGTCAGGTGGCAGACTCTATGCCAGGGTTTAAGTAGGTGGCAGGCTGCCTTTCCCTCTAGGAGCTGATGGGTCAGTGGGTGGTTGGGAGTGCCAGTGTTTGGAACTGATGACTGCTGTAACAAGGAATGCAGAGAGGGAGGTGGGGACACAGGGGATGCTCTGCCTGTGCCATGGGGCTGGAAATATCAAGGGTGGGTGGGAGCTTGCCAGGTGAGAAAGCAGGCAAAGGCTACTCCAAGGTGAGGGAAGAACTTGTGCAAAGAGAGAGCTTTACTTGTTGAGAGAAGTACAAGTCAGTGAGTGTTGCTGGAGCCTCGAGTAAAGCAGGCAGTGGTGGTGGATGCAAGGGCTATATCTGGATGCTCCTAAAGGACTGTGTTTGCTGTATAGAGTGAGACTTTCATCCCGCAGCTTGTGGATTCGGGATCCTGTGCACATGTGTATGTGTGAAGGGAGGTGAATAGGGAGGTGGCCTGGAAGGTTTCTCTTTTGCTTGCCCCCTTCTGGAGGCAGGGAGAATCCAGAATATTTTCTGCCCCGTATTGAAATACCTCCATGCAGATTATTTTCTTCTTTGGATTGTAAACTCCTAAAGGGTGGCAGGGCTTAAGTTTTATGTTTCTCATAGCTCCTCACATGTGCATTGTGAGATAGGTGCTCATTTCAACTTTCCTTCAATAAATGATGACTGCATTGCTATCTGTGACCCTGATCTGTTTTACCATCTTGTTATCCTGTAACATGTTTTTTCCCTTTTATCCACCCCACCTCTCACTTCCCAATTTTTCTTTCTGTCAGGCAAATTAAGTATATTAAAAAAAAAAAGAAAAAAAGAAAAAGTAACGGAAAACTTTGAGAAGATTTGTTGTTGAGCTGTCAGATGCCAGGTCCTGATACTGAATTTGGCAGTGGGTTGGGTGAGACTCCTTCCTGAGAAAGTCACTCCAGTGCCTTTTATTCACTGTTGCATTCCCTGTGCCCTGTACGTGTTAGGTGCTCAACAAATGTTTGTTGAAGGAATCATCCCCATTCATTGACAACAGGATTAAATCCATCTTTTCCTAGCAACACCTACTGCCTACTTTCTACTTTGATCCTATCATCTATGCTTTCTAAGCTCTAGACGCATTAAATGCTTTCCATTTCTCCTATACTTCAAATATTTCCACTGCCTGGAATGCTCTGTTATTTGGGTAACTCTTACACCCTCTTTTACTTCCCTAGAAAGGGGCAGAGTTATTTCTGATTAACCCAAGTGGAATTAGTTGCTCCTTCCTGTGTACATTTTTGTATTGAAGTTGTTCAGCCTCTAGATAATGAGCTTGGAAGGTGACAAAACTTACCCCTTTCTCTGTCTCTCGTATTTGAACCTGGTACCTGGCAGTTTTGCTGAATGGGTAGTTTGTGAATCATTATAGGAAAGCATGTTATGATGAGCTGGCAGCACACCTGAGTAAAGTCTGTGCTAGGGATGTTGAACAACCTTCACCCAGCCTGTCCTAGAACTTTGTACAGTACAGTATGAGTGTGAGCCAGTCTGCTTCAGAACTGGTACATAGGAGCAACATCTTCTGTAAACTTGCAATGTTAGGAAATTCATTTTTACTTGGAAGGATTTCTAGAAGGCCAGCAGTACAGTCAGGTCAGTGACTCAATGCCAGGAATGGGAGGTTGGCAGGAGGAGCGACTGGAGGCTGTTGTTTTTTCAGGAGTCCAGGGAGAGATGAGGGAGTCTCCCTAAGAGTGGTAGAAGGGAATAGAAAGTAAGTAAAAGAAAAGAGTTCCTGCTGGGGGAGCTTTCATGCTGTTTGGGAGAAATGACCTCTGATCCGAGCAGACGATAACTTGGAGCTGATGACCTTATCATCTTCCCTGCAGAGATTGCCATAGCCATCATGGAGGGGGCCAAGGTGGAGAGTCCTCTGAACCCCAGCTGTAAGATAATGACCTTCAGGCCCTCCATGGAAGAGTTCCGGGAGTTCAACAAATACCTCGTGTACATGGAGTCTAAAGGAGCCCATCGAGCGGGTCTTGCAAAGGTGACTATCCTCAGATCCTTTAAATGAAAAATGATCACTTACTTATCTTTTAAATTATGCTCTTAGTCTTCGTGATCTGGGATATTGTTTCTTCCAAAGGAAGATATTTGCAAAATATTTCGTCTTGTCAATCCTTGTGGAATGTTTGATTTCTTCAGAGATTAATTATCTTATTTATTTTTTACTATTTATACTAGGTTGTATTCTAAGGCTTTCTTTGTTTTTTAAACAAAGGGTAGTTTATATATAACAAATTTATTGAGATATAATTTCCATACCATACAATACACCTATTTAGAGTGTGCAATTCAATTGTTTTTAGTATATTCACAGTTTTGCAACCATCACCACTATCAAATTGCAGAACATTTTTAAAAAAAATTATTTATTTATTTTTAAATTTTATTTTGTTGATATACAATGTGGTTGATTATCGTGGCCCATTACCAAAACCTCCCTCCCTCCTCCCTCTCCCCCCTCCCACCCGACAATGTCCTTTCTGTTTGCTTGTCATATCAACTTCAAGGAATTGTAATTGTTATGTCTTCTTCTACCCCCAATTTTTTTTTTGTGTGTGTGAAATTTATTTATTTTTAGCTCCCACCAATAAGTGAGAACATGTGGTATTTCTTTTTCTCTGCCTGACTCGTTTCACTTAACATAATTCTCTCAAGGTCCATCCATGTTGTTGCAAATGGCAGTATTTCATTCGTTTTTATAGCTGAGTAGTATTCCATTGTGTAGATATACTACAATTTCCGTATCCAATCATCAGATGATGGACATTTGGGCTGGTTCCAACTCTTGGCTATTGTAAAGAGTGCTGCAATGAACATTGGGGAACAGGTATACCTTCGACTTGATGCTTTCTATTGTTCTGGGTATATTCCCAGTAGTGGGATAGCTGGGTCATATGGCAGATCTATCTGCATCAAATTGCAGAACATTTTTATCACCAAAAACATCCCTCCGTATGCCTTAAGCAGTCATTCCCCATTCCCTGATATCCCCCGTAGCCCTAGGCAACAGCAAATCTCCTCTTTCTCTCTACAGATTTGCCTATTTGGTTTTCTTTTTAGTTATTTGCTCACCAAGTGTAGAGAGTGCCTACTAAGTACCAGGTGCTATATCAGGTGCTGGGGTGTGTGTGTGAGGAGGATATGGGGGGACAGAACAAAGTTCCTGCACCCATGGAGCTTATATTCTGATGGTAGCATCTTAGGGTGATGATGTAAGGACATTTAAGCAGAGACCCAAAGGATAGAAAGGAACCATCCTTTCGAGATGTGGGGACAGAAAGAATGGCAAGTCCACAGGCCTGGAGGCTGACCTGAACTTATGTGTGGGACGAATAGGAAGGTGGTTGTTGAACTTGAGGCTCACTGAGCAGGCAGAAGTGTGTCATAAGTAAGGTGAAGAAGGGGCCAGGTGGTATAGGGCTGGTCAGACCATATGAGGCTTTTCTCTCTGTGCGGTGGGAAGCACTGATGGACTTAAAGCAGGAGAGGAGGACATGGTGGCTGTTTGTTTTTTATTTCTTTTGCCATTTTTTGTGACATTATTTTGAAAAGATCACACTGGCTCCTGTGTGAAGAATGAATTTGGTGTGGAGGGCAGAGCACAAGTGGGGAGTCTTGTCAGCAGTAGTTGTTTGTGTTTATGTAGTGAGGAGCTGATAGTGGCCCAGACCAGTGAAGATGGGATGGGAGAAGTGTTCTTCGGCTTAGACATGTTTGAAAATATTTGTTTTTCTCTTATTATTTTTTTTTGGCTGCTGGCAGGTAGGAGGATCTCAACCCTTGACTGTGGTGTTACCAACACTGTGCTCTAACCAGCTGAGTTAACCGGCCAGCCCTTTTCTCTTATAGGTGTTAGATAATATCCTTTAAAAAATGATGGTGAATTAAGAACTGTAGGTATAAATGATATGCTCAGGGTCATGTGGTGCTCAGTAAGGTGCTGAGGACTGCATTGCATGTTTGGACCCATAGAGCCAAAGTTACAGTTTTGAAAGAGAGATTGTCTATATTATTCATCCTCCAATCTGCAACCTGAGGTGGTGTGTGTCCCTTGTATAATAGAAATCTATTTTAATTAAAAAGTTTCCCTTGATGGAATATTTTTTATTGCATTGATTTCAGTTTATTATTGCTGTAAATGTGAAGTTTATAATCTGGGTTTCTGTATACTTGTCAGTGTTACTACGTGGGTTTCTGAGCCCTGGTGGAGCCTGCTGCTGGGCTGAACCACTCAACTCCACCTGTGAAAGGTTCCCTTTGAAATCCCTACCTCCACTGTGAAGGTTGAATAGCATGGAGAACTGAAGAGAGAACTTCCAGAACTGCAGGGGTTGGTGTTCAAGTCCTTCTGCATCTGGACCTGATGCTGCTTTTAACCCAATTCTTTACTATTTCTGGTATCTGTCCCCTGAGGTCTGTCATTTTGTTATGTATCCTGTTCAGGTTCAAGTTCCTCTGAGAAAAGTTTTAAAATTCGGGGATGAACATGTTGAGTGAAAGTTAATTAAGGGTGGGTGAGATAAAAAAGGAAGATAAAGAGAAAAAATGAGAGTGAAACATGAAAAAATTGCATCAGTCAACATCAGGGAAATGCAACTCAAAACCACATTGAAATACCATCTTACTCCAGTTAGACTGGCCAGTATCAAAAAGACAGAATAACAAATGCTGGCGAGGATGTGGAGAAAGGGAAACCCTTCGACACTGTTGGTGGGACTGTAAATTAGTGCAGCCGTTATGGAAAACAGTATGGCAGATAGAACTGCCATAGGATCCAGCAATCCCACTGCTGGGTATACCCAAAGGAATGGAAATCATCATGTTGAAGGGATACTTGCACTCACATGTTTATTGCTGCTCTATTTGCAGTAGCCAAGAGTTGGAACCAACCTAAATGTCCATCGACGGATGACTGAATAAGGAAAATGTGGTATACTTATACAGTGGAATACTACGCTGCCATAAAAAGAATGAAACTGCCATTCGCAGCAACATGGATAAACTTAGAGAAAATTATGTTAAATAAAATGAGCCAGGCACAGAGAGAGAAATATCGCATGTCCTCACTCATAAGTGGGAGCTGGAAACAAAACAAAAGAAAACCCCCAAACAAACAAACAACAAAGAAAGATACAACAGTCAATAATTCCTTGGACTCTCAAAAGGAGAGAACAGAACTGAGGACACCAGAGGTGGGAAAGACGGAGGAGGGTTAGGAAGAAATTGGTAAAGAGCCACGAAAAATATTTACACTGTGTAATGATCAAATAAAAACACAAACAAAAGAAAACAAAATGAGAGTAAAGGTTTATAATTTCTCAGAATTATAAACTTCTTTACTGGGTTAACTTTTAAAAAATCTAAATTTTGGAAGCTTAACATCTCCAGATTATTTTTGGAAGTTGTTTATTAGTTGAAAAAACTATTCAGAATTATTTGACACACAGAATTTTGATGATGAACTTCTAAGGGGCTAGCAAAGATTTGGGCTTCATTGGGCAGAGGGGAGTTGGAGGTGACTATTTGCCCTCTTTGAGCTCTGAATGCAGCCCTTTGTCTTGTTCTCTTCCCCCTTTTGTTTCTTGAAAACATCCTGTCTTCCACTGAGATTAGTAGAATGTCCTGTGTGGTGGCACATTTAGTAAGTAACCTTAGAAGAGAAAGCAGCAGCTATCCTCACAAGGGACTGCAGGCACACGGAGCACACCTGTGCTGCTGTTGGCATTATGTAACAGCATAAAGTTAATGAGAATTACAGTTATGAAACACACCTGAGTCCAGACCACCTTTTTTTTTTTATAGGTAGGACTCATTGACAAAGTTGGAGATATTCATTTACTCAATCCTTTGATAATTTCCTGTTATTTATATGAGGAATAACTGTTTGTTTCAAATTATATCTGCCATCTTTTACATCAACTCAGTTTTACTTCTTTCCCTATTGTTCTGGAAGTTGTGATAATAGCAAGTGTACAAAACTGCACCAAATCAAATCACATTGTAAAACTCAAGACTGCTTTAATGTAGCTGGTTTGCTTTGGGGGATAGCACTGAGTAACAGAGCCACCCATATGGTTTTTTGTTAATGCACTATTAACAACATTTAATGAAGTGGTTTTAATTTATGATTTAAAGAAAATGGGGCCGAGCCCTTGGCGCACTTGGGAGAGTGCGGTGCTGGGAGCGCAGGAGCGCTCCTGCCGCGGGTTCGGATCCTATATAGGGATGACTGGTGCGCTCACAGTGCTCACTGGCTGAGCGCAGTGCAGCTGGTCTCAAAAAGGACAAAAAAAAAAAGAAAGAAAAAAAAGGAAAATGGCTGAGTAGTTCCAGTAGTAGTGACTTCAGCCTCAGATTACAATCTATTTTGTTTTTTCTCTTCTCAACAGTTTTTAGATTTATGCTTTAGATTTAACTTTTATTTCTAAAATGAGAAATTTGACATCCTCTTTGTCTACAAAGTGGTCAAGTCGAGAAAGTGAAAAGAGTGACAGTCTCCTTAAATGTAACACTTTATTGTTTTTGTGCAGGGAGATTATGATGAACCTTTTTAATATAGTGAATGAGTGATATTTGTCCCCAGTGGTAACCTAGACATGGACTGTTCAGGCCATAGGTTATGCTCATGTGTAGTTTTGTGAATAGCCCAGAGAGTGCTGATGGCTACCTTTGTTCAGAAGGTGAAGAAAGATTGTGAGGGGTACTGCTCTTTCTCCTCCGCTCCTTCCTGGGTTGGTAGATGGTAGTAACTAATTTCAAGGTAGGTAGTGCAGCTAGAGATTTTAACTGGAATCTTTCCACAGGAAATAGGGGCCAGGGTAGGTTGAGGGAAATGGTGGTATAAAATGTATATTCCATTTTGATGTAATCAGGAAGGTAAACTTAAGGAGAAATGGGTTTCCTTCATTTAGATTCATTAAATGTAAAGGATTAATTTAAAATCTTTTAAAATCTGTTAAAGACCTAAGTATGTGTGCTTGAGTCCATTTCTTATGTAAGAAAATCTGATGTTTTTAAGATTTGAAATTATAATTCAAAAATTGTTATAGTCCTGAGGTTATGAATTTTTTTTAATTTGCGGCTGGCTTGGATGGTGACCTGAACCCTTGACCTTGGTATTATATAACACTGTGCTCTAACCACCTTAGCTAATTGGCCAGGTCCTGGGCTTATGAATTATTAAATGTGCTTTCTGAACTCTTTAATCAAAAGTAAATTAGTATGTCGACAAAATAGTCACAAGGTAATGTTTGGATTTTTGTAACTTTATTGTATGCTTTGTTTCTCTACCTTTAGAAAATTGCTGCAAAACTTTTTTATGGGCAAGTTTTTTATAAGATAGGGGAATATATTTAACTCTAAACATAACATTAATTTTTTTTTTTTTTTAAAGATGACCGGTAAGGGGATCTTAACCCTTGACTTGGTGTTGTCAGCACCACGCTCACCCAGTGAGCAACTGGCCATCCCTGTATGGGATCCGAACCCGTGGCCTTGGTGTTATCAGCACCACACTCTCCTGAGTGAGCCACGGGCCGGCCCCCATAACATTAATTTTTTTTTTTTTTTTTTTTTTTTTTCGTGTCCGGCAACGGATCGCAACCGTCAGTGTCGCGCCTGTACCGGACGGGGACCGGCAACGGGAACGCAACCCTTGGTGTTGCGCCCGAACCTCGCTCAGCCAGTGAGCGGGAACCGGTCTGTATGTGGGATCCGAACCCTCGGCGGGAGCGCCGCCGCGCTCCCAAGTGGCACACTGCGCCACCGGGCCGGCCCACCATAACATTAATTTTGATTGTGTTACATATATTTCTAAATAGGAGCCCTAATAAATTCGTGTTTTATTTTTTTGAATTATTCAGGCTTATTTGTGATAAAGAAAAAAGTTAGTATTTATAACACTCTTAAATACAACCTCCTTCCCTTTTCGATGTATTATCAAGACACTGTAGTATGGTTTTTCATATTTATGTAGTATGACTGTCCATATTCTTTTTTTTTTTTTTTTTTGTGGCTGGTATGGGAATTTGAACCCTTGACTTTGGTATTACACCACTATGCTCTAACCTACTGAGCTAACCAGCCAGCCCCATATTCTTTAAGAGTACTAAGTGTGTGTTTTGAATAACATATGTGGATACTTCAAAAAGTTCCTGGAGGGCCGGCCTGTGGCTCACTCGGGAGAGTGCGGTGCTGATAACACCAAGGTTACGGGTTTGGATCCCATATAGGGATGGCCTGTTCGCTCACTAGCTGAGCGTGGTGCTGACAACACCAAGTCAAGGGTTAAGATCCCCTTACCAGTTATCTTTAAAAAAAAAAAAGGTTCCTGGAAAAACTGAATTAAAAGATAACACAAATCCTTCCGTGAACTGTTTGAAGGCCGCTGTACACTATGGATACTTGTATTCTCATTTTAAACTAACATATAATGGAGAAAATAAAATGTGTGGTATCCCCATATTGCTGATTAAAATTCATGTTAAAATAGCTCAATTTCAGTTTTTTTATTTTTTTTTTTTTTTTTTTTTTTTTTGGGAATTCACATGTGTCCCTTATCAGCTGTATAACATAACATTGAATGAGTTACTCATCTCCTGACCCCAAGTTTCTTCATCTGATGAAGCTTGACCCAAATCTTTCACAGTTACAGATACATTGTAGATCTAAATGTGAAAGACAAAACTTTAACACTCTTAGAATATAAAATAGAGTATCTTCCTGTCTGAGAGGAGGGAAATATTTTTTTTAAACCAAAGATCATAGGCAAAAATGAATAAATTGGATTACATTAACATTAGAAACTTATGTTTGTCAAAAACAATACCCTTCAGAAGGTTGGAGGGTAAGTTACAGGATAGGAGAAGATATTTTTGTGCATGTGCTCTCTCTCTCTCGATATATATGTGTGTGTATAATCTAAATATTCTTCGGTGTGTGTATATACCCATGAATATTCGGATTATATAAAAGACCCGTGTACATTAAGAAGAAGAAGACCAACAATGCAGTAGTAAAATGGCCAAGAGACTTGAACAGGCACTTCACAAAAGAGGTTATCATATGTGGTCAATGAACGTATGAAAAGGTTTCTTTCATTATCAAGAAAATACAAATAAAATTCACCTACCAGAAAGATTGAAATTTAAATGATGGAGAGTTTCATGTGATGACGATTTGGAGAAAGAGGAATTCTAATATATTGCTGGTGGGAATGTGAATTGGCATAACCACTTTGGCAAATGTTTGGTAGTGTCTATTAAATTTGAAAAGCACATATCCTGTGTCCCAGTAATTTTAGTCTTAGGGGTGTCAATGTATGTGTGCATATTTTAGAGAGCCCTGTGCACATATGCACCAGAAAATGTATACAAGAATATTAATAGCATTATTTTCAAAAGCTAATAGTTAGAAAAAACCAAGGGCCTGCCAACGGTCACCAATTTATGAATAATTATTTTTTTTAAGTTTTAATTTTAACTTACATGTTTGTGGGGTACATTTTTTTAAGTTTTAATTTTAACGTACATGTTTGTGGGGTACATTTTGTTGTTTAAATATGTGTGTCTGTTGTATAATGATCCAATCAGAATGGTTAGCATATATATCTAAACATTTGTTCATATGCCTGTTGGCCATTTGTTTGTCTTCTTTAGAAAAATGTCCGTTCAGTTCCTTTACCCATTTTTTAATCAGATTATTTGTTTTTTTAAGATTGAGTTCTTTGAGTTCTTTGTATGTTCCGGATAGTAGTCCCTGGTTGGATGCATAGTTTGCATATATTTTCTCCTGTTCTGCAGGAGATAGTTTCCTTTGCTGTGCAGAAGCTTTTTAGTTTGATATAATCCCATTTGTTAATTTTTGCTTTTGCTCCCTATGTTTCTGATGTATTATTCATAAAGTCTTTGTCCAGAACTGTGTCCAAGTGTTTCCCTTATGTTTTCTTCTAGAAGTTTTATAGTTTGAATAGATAAATACTTATATGAGGGAATACTGACCAGGAGTGAAAAGCAATGAACTTGAGCTACATAGGCCATCGTATTTAAATCTCACAAAAATATTAATTCAAATATTAAAGATAAACCTCAAAGAATATATACTGCATGATTACATTTTTATACATTTCTAAAACTGGTGTTTAGGGATGCAAACCCAAGCATAAAACTAAAGCCCAGTAAAGAAATGATTACCCATAAATGCCATGGTAGTGGTTACCTCTGGGCAAGGGGGCAATATGTTTGGGAATGGGCACTTGGAGGGCCTCTGGGGTGCCAGCAGTATTCTGCTTCTCGCAGCTAGGCAGTAGGCACTCTGGTGTTTGCTTTATAATAATTCACAGAGCTAATTTGTGATTATGCATTTTCTGTATGTGTGCTATATTTTTCAATAAATTTTTTTTAACGTCTTAAAAAAATTAAAACAACTTCTAAATGTGGAAAAATTCCAGCCACAAGTCATGACTTACTTTATGACCTTGTCTTTTCTAATTTCAAAATTATATGAATGTGTATTTTTGATTATAATGTTTCCGGATCTTTTCACTCTTAGTAATTAAGTGTTTAAATACTATGAAAAAACAATGGTGTGCTGAGCCACCTCATACTGGCACACAAGAGTTGATAGTGCACATCTCTTCCCAGCTCTATGTTCAGTGATGTCATGTTGGTAGGTTCAAATTGGCCATGGTGGGAGTAGTTATACATGGACATAGCCAAAAGCTACAGATCAAGGTTGCAACCACCTTCCCAGAAAGCTGGTTGTTAAACATTTACTTTCACACTACTGTGCTATTTGCCATACTGCGTGAGAGGTCTATAGGGAAAATCATATTGATTAAACATTTACTTATTTTTTATCATAGTAATATAGACAACACATAAATGTTTAGATAAAGTTCAATGAAGATGAGCTTCTTTGGGGAAGAAATGATTTATGTAAACGTAATTTCATGTTCTGTTGAGAGAGAGGTTAACATAATGGCTCAGTGTGAATTCTGCTATCATAGTGTCTCAGTTTGAGTTTCAACTCAAGTTGTCTTTACCATTTGAACTCCAGCAAGTTATTTTACTTTTGTGTGTCTTTAAATCTTATCTTTAAAACTGAGATGTTAATAATACCAACTCAAAAATGAGTTAATATTGGTACAGTATTTGTTATAGTGAGTACTTAATTCATTTTGCTGGTAGAAAATCATATTTCCTCAGCTGGCCGGTTATCTTAGTTGGTTAGAGTGCAGTCTTACAACACTAAAGTCACAGGTTTAGATCCTTGTACTGGCCAGCTGCCAAAAAAGAAAAAATAATATTTCCTTATTAAGTTTTCATGATTTTTGTTACACATTTATCATAGAGATGCTAAGAAATTCTTTAGATGTATTCTGTTGGAATATAAAAGCTAAATTACTACTTGGAGTATTTCCAAGATAATATTTTATTATTTTATTTTTAGGTGATTCCTCCTAAGGAGTGGAAGCCAAGACAGTGTTATGATGACATTGATAATTTGCTCATTCCAGCGCCGATTCAGCAGATGGTCACAGGGCAGTCAGGACTGTTCACTCAATACAACATCCAGAAAAAAGGCATGACTGTGAAGGAGTTCAGACAGCTGGCCAACAGTGACAAGTGAGTAGATGGGGTTTGCTATTTTTATTTCTTTCAAAGATATATGTGAACATTGTAATAAACCAAGTAGACAGAGGAGCAGGAATCTGCAGTATAATCTTTTGGTTCTCATTTAACTGTTTCTGTTTTCTTCAGGTGGTTGCCTACTAACATTTAGTTTACTCTTTAGGAAATTGTTCCTCATTTTATTATATCATTAATAATAGCTATAAATGGATCTTTCTATCTTGTAGTTGCCATGAGTTTTTGATTGTCCACGATTCATCATTGTTAGGCATGTTTTTTTCTTTATGTGACAACGTTTAAGTCTTTATCATATCTATATGTGTGTGTGTCTATATATATGTGAAGATTAGTAATTTTAATCTTGAGTGACTTGAAAGGGCACCATTATTGTATTAGTTATCTATTGTTACCAAATTATCCCAAATCTTAAATCATCCTACACTCTCTGAGGGTCAGGAATCTGGGAGTAGCTTAGCTGGGTGTTTCTGGCTCAGGGTCTCTCATGGGGCTACAGTCACAATGTTGGCTCCTCTTCCATGGGTGCTGTCCTAACATGGCTGTTGGCTGGAATTGTCATGTCATGGCAGCTGGTTTCTCTGAGAACAAGTGATCCGAGAGACTTAGCAAGATGGAAGCCACATATCTTTTCATGACCTATCTCAGAAGTGACACACTGTCATTTCTGCCACATTGTATTTGTCCCCAGCCATTTCTTTTTCTTTTTTTTTTTCCTTTTTGTCTTTTTTCGTGTCCGGCAACGGATTGCAACCCTCAGTGTCGCGCCCGTACCGGACCGGACCGGCAACGGGATCGCAACCCTCGGTGTTGCGCCTGCACCTCACTCAGCCAGTGAGCGGGAACCGGTCTGTATGTGGGATCCGAACCCTCGGCGGGAGCGCCACCACGCTCCCAAGCAGCGCACTGTAGCAGTGAGCCACCGGGCCGGCCCCGTCCCCAGCCATTTCTAAGTGCAGCTTACACCCAAGGGGAGGAGAATGAAGCTCTACTTCTTGAAGGGAGGAGTATCAAAGAATTTTTGGGTATATTTAAAAATCGTCACAATTATGGTTATTATTAAACTACATTTTTTTAAAAAAAAGTTTCTGGCGTGTGGTTAAGGCCCTAGATCAAAACATTAATTGGACCAAAACAAAACCCAGCCTAAAAAACTTAGCTGTCTGAGTTTCCTGGATGGGTGTGAATGAGATTAAGACTTTGGGTGAATTTAGCTGATAGCTTTTTTATTTTTTAAATTGTATTTGACATAGTAAGTACATGATGGTACTTGAAGAATCTTACTTCTCTGTGTTAAGTTCCTTCTATGGAGCATTCTGGCTATTCCAAGGAAGCTGAACATTTTATATTTAATTTAATTTGATTGCTTTTTAAAAAATTTTTTTTGGGTGACATTAGTAGAGCCTCCTTTCAGATCTCATTAATTGAGAATGTGGTTGAACTCATTAGCTTTCAAACTCTTTCAGAATTCTTTTATAAGTACAATGCTATTGAAATAAGATTGCAGAGGCAATTATACCTTTTTATAAATGTAAACTGTTTATTGTATTCTGTTTCCTATCTTTTAGTACTTATTTCCAGTGTTGCTCTTAAAGTGTTAAGTAAGTCTTAGTTCATTGAGTGGAACCTGTGCTTGGTTACTTTGATATTTCAAGGGATAATTTGTATTTAAAAGAAATCAGATTATACTTACTAAAAAATATTAGTTAATATTGTTGATAATCATCATAGCTATTATAGGAAAGGTACAAAATGTTATGGGATTTCCAAGGAAGATCAGGTTTCTGTGGTTGTTGATAAGGAATGGAGTAGTTTCATTTTGTAGGTGCTGCTGGGATGGATTTTGAAGGATGGCCGGAAACATTTTTGCCAGTTAGAAAAATAATACATGCTTATTTAAAAATTAAAACTTCATAGGACCGGCCCGTGGCTCACATGGTCAAGGGTTAAGATCCCCTTACCTGTCATCTTTCAGGGAAAAAAGAAAATTAAAACATTATAGACATATGTAATTTTAACTCCCAGGGACAATCATTATTAATAATACATGATAATTAAAAATATCGATGAGAATTGAGCCTTGAAGTCCTTTGTTCTCTTATAGAGAAACTTTGATCATCATCTCTAGCCCATTTGATTATTCTACCATAGTATCAATTTTCTATTTCAAGGGAATTTATTTTACTAGGCACTAATTTTATTCATATCTCTGTTCCATTTCTACTTTGGTGGCTTAGTTTGTAGATTGACTCATCCTGAAGATAGACATTCAGGTGACATAGTCTGTTTTGTGTACCACTGTATGTATACCCAGTGCCTGGTACAGTATCTGGGATATGGTATGTATTTTTTAAATATATGTTGATTGAGTGAATACATAGTGTCATTAAAGCTAAAATATATTTGAAGTGGTATAAATTATTGGGCAGATTGTAAAGATTTACTTATTATCAAAATGTACATTTCTTGATATTCTGGAGTCGAAAGGTATTTTTAAAAAGTTGTTCGTTGTTCTTTAAGTTATGCAGTATAACCAGAATGAGAAATTGTCTGACACATTATTTCTAGGTTAAATTTTATCTTTCAAAGTTAATTTCTCTTTTGATTGGGATTAATTTCATTGTAATAGTTATAATTTTAAACTACCTTTGAAATTTATATTTTTATATTTCCTCTGTCAGTTTCATATTCCAGTAAAATAGCTTTCTCAGCCTCAAACCAGGGCTCTTGCTTGTCCATAAGGAGCTGCCCTAGGACCTCATGGTCTTCATAGTGGTTTGGAATGGTCCTGAGATGGGACTAATTTTCATGAGAGGCAGGAGGCATCCTGCCAGTCTTTCTATTCATCTGTTTTCCTTTGGTACATGTCCTTGCATAGGTGCCCAGTACATAATGTGCTTGATGTAAATAGTAGAGAGGGTAGCATGATCATTTGGTGATAACACTACGTAATCCAAAGAAAATCTAGAGAACTCCAACATAGCTCTAAAATAAAAATTTATAGAGAAGAGTAATATGCTCTTTTACATTGCTTGCATTACTGATCTATACTTTCTTATAGGCACAGGTAGAACTAAATGCTTTACATAATTACCTGATGGAGCCTGCATAAGTCTGATAGTTATTATCCCTATTTTATATAGGAATAACTGAGTTCCAGAGAGATTCAGCCTTCTGTTCAGGATTATGTAGTTTATAAATGGCCAAACTTGGGTACAAACCCAAGCAGCTTAATCCTGTAGCCCACTTCTTAACAATTGTGCTATAGTGAATGAAAGGTTCTAGATAAAAAAAAAAAAAAAGTATGGCTGAATGTGTTTTGAGCAAATTGACAAAAGATTTGTAGAAGAGGTATGACTGTTTGACAGTCCATTAGGGATGAAATCTATAGTCAGTATTCATTAGAACCAGGTATTAGCCAAGACTGGTCACTTTTTTTCTAGCTTAGAATCAGCATTTCATTCAAATGGGCAAGGATTTTAGAATTTAACCTCAATGGGCAATACCAGATTTTAAATTTATCTTTTACAGGCATGAATTTAAAAAAAAAAATCAATCCTGATTGGGTGTATAGTGATAGATTCTATAGGTTTTCTTATATAGTGTAAGGCAGTTTAGGGCTTTCAATTTTAATTCCAAAGTCTGAGTAGTTTCTCTAAAAGTTCTAATAAATAGCATCTCTGCTACCTTTTGCTTCTCTCCTTTCTCTTCTTCCTTGTGGTCTATGCTCTGGAGAGTAGGGATGCACACTTGCCTTCATCACCTGACTCTGACCTGTGGTTAGCTTCTTGGAATTCCTGATGCTACTGGAACCTGCTAGTAGAAGAGATGAAATAATGTAAAGTTAATGGTGCTTTCATGATTATACTTTTTGTTTTTGGATGTGCTGTGAGATTTTAGTGTTCTGGATAAATCAGTGAATTGTTTTGTATTTCAAATATGGTTGTCAAATTAAGTTGTCTTGTAGTCTTGCTTATTCTTATTACATGGATAACCAGTTCAGGGTCTCCAGTATAGCAATTGTAGATGTTGATTATGTTGTGATTAGTCAATCTAAAATGTTCAGTAAGTTTTACTGGAATTGCTTCTACTGCTAAACACCTTTTATTTTTTTTCCCACTTTGTTTATTTTCTTCATAAGGAAACATTGGTATCCTTTTTTTGGCTGATAATGTAAGGTTATTGTTCAAAATCCAAGTAATACAGAGAAGTAAGTGCTTTTCTGTAGTTGCTATGTGAAAGATAATCATTAATATTAATAATTTTATATATATTTCTTTCTGGCCATTTAAGGTACAATTACAGGCATTTTTTTACATAAATAGGATCACAGTATACACACTATTCTGTAACCTGCTTTATGCACTGTGGAAAGATTTTTATGTCAGTACATCAGAAGAGTTACCTCATTTATGTTGTTATTATTATTTTTTTTAACTAACCAGCAGTTGCTAGATAATAGCTTGTGCTTTCAATTAATGCTGCAGGAAACATCCTGGTCACATCTGTCATTGTACACGTCTGTGTTGTTAGAATAAATTTCTGGAGCTAGATTTTAGGGTCAAGGATATACTTTTTTTTTTTTAACGCTTTTGATATGTGTTGAAAAATTACACTCTGAAAAGGTCGTAACAGTATTTATACTCCCACTCCAGCCGTGTCAGAGGTGTCATTATTTTCCTCTCGTTAGTATATTAAACATTTGTCAATCTAATAACTGCAAAGTATCCTAATTTAGTTTTACTTCTTTGGATGTTTAGTGAGATTGTCATTTTTCAATTTTTCTTTTTTTTTTTTTTTGTCTTTTTTCATGTCCGGCAACCGATCGCAACCCTCAGTGTGGCGCCCGTACCGGACCGGGACCGGCAACGGGATCGCAACCCTCGGTGTCGCGCCCGCACCTCGCTCAGCCAGTGAGCGGGAACCGGTCTGTATGTGGGATCCGAACCCTCGGCGGGAATGCCGCCGCGCTCCCAAGCGGGGCACTGTAGCAGTGTGCCACCGGGCCGGTCCCGTTTTTCAATTTTTCTATAGGTGTTAAGTCTTTTACATATAAATCTGTGAAATTTCTTAATATAGTATAATTGGTTAAAGATTTTAGAAATATTTGAAAGCTAAAATGACTTTAACTAATTTTTTGCTTCTATTTTTGATATTTTCATGAAAGTCTCCTTACTGATAAAAAATATGAAGTGATTATATAGCATTATTTAGGAATCTTAAGAGTAGAGTATTCAGATATTTATGATAAATATGTTTGTATGCTTGTTAGATTTGACACCTGGGTGTCTGCAGTGGTTTTATTTTGATAAGATTTTGTTTAGAAAGTGAGTTAAATCAAATGAGTGGGGAAAATTTTAAAATCTTTTTTTTAAATGTACCTTTTACAGATACTGTACTCCGAGATACTTAGATTATGAAGATTTGGAGCGCAAGTACTGGAAGAACTTAACTTTTGTTGCACCTATCTATGGTGCGGACATTAATGGGAGCATTTATGATGAGGTATGTTTGTATTTACAGTTGGTTTTGTAAAGGTTCATTTAATGTTACTATTTTTGTTACAATTTTCGACAGTTGAGAAGTAGTTGTTTCTTAGGCTTTTGGGCGATCCATAATTTTTCCTAGGACAAAGAGGAAAGAAAGATTCATCTGTAGGATTTCTGTTATTTTTTAAATTGAAGCTAGCTAATTATACAGATACCCGAGACTGTTCAACATTAATATAATATGCAGTTATCTGTCTGTTCTTCGCAGTACATTACATTTTTTTAGGTGCAAGTTCATTACAAAAATGTTTGAAAAACAGGAAATATTCATCATACTACCACCTGAAGGCAAAAGCTGTATTTCAAATACTGTAACATTTCAAAGTAAGTTGCAGACATAATGACAGGTCACCCTTAATTATATCAGCATGTATCTTTTAATTACAAGGCAATTTAACATTTACATAATGTAATCTAATATACAGGCCATAATCAAAGTGCCCTAATTTTTCTAATACTCTTATTTATAACTGTCTTCCACCCATATGAAGGATCCAGTCAAGGATTCCTCTGTGTAAAGAATGAGTGATCTATGGGATGATATTTAGATATTAGGTGAATGTCCTGTTCTCCAATAGCCTTCCACTCAGTGGATTTGGAATCTATTGGTAATCCTTGCCTTATTTCCTTTATTATATTATTTTAAAACCTTTTTTAGTTTGAAATCTAAAACACATTAGGAAGTGCTTGAAACATAAACCTAGAGCTTCATGAATTATGGCAAATTAAAAACCTATATACCATTTCTGACATCAAGGAAAACCATTACCAGCACCCTTGAAATCCTTTACACGGCTCCATTACCTACCATAGGCTCCCCTTTTCCTTCAAAAGTAACCACTGTTCTGACTTCATGATGATTATTTTCTCCTTTTCTTTAACAATACAGCTCATTATGACCTGTTTCTGAATTTTATATAATTAGAATCATTCAGTATATATTCTTTTATATCTGGATTCTTTTTTTTTTCCTTTTTGTCTTTTTTCGTGACTCGTAACGGGATCGCAACCCTCGGTGTCGCGCCCGCACCGCGTTCAACCAGTGAGCGGACCAGTCTCTATATGGGATCTGAACCCTTGGCGGGAGCGCCACACTCTACTGAGTGCGCCACTGGGCCGGCCCTGGATTCTTTTTTTAATTTAATTTTTAACTTAAAAACTTTTTTATTATGAATATTCATGAGATACAAAGCTAATTGTCAACCCTTGTGCCCATCATGTGAGGGCCAGATTCATACTGGCAGCATACTTATTACCAGAAATTACTTTTGTACCCTGCGTCCTGGACCCAATTATTCCCCACCCCCCACCCCCACCTCCCCTGCACTTTGTAGCCCTAAGAATGTTCCCTCCCTCTGTAAGACTAATGCACTACTGTGGTCTTTCTTTCCTTCCTTTTTTCTCTCTTAGCTACACATATGAGTGAGCACAGGTGGTATTTATCCCTCTGTGCTTTGCTTATTTCACTCAATATAAGTTTCTCCAGGTTCATCCATGTTGTTGCAAATGGGAGTATTTCATTCTTTTTTATGGCAGAGTAGTATTCCATTGTGTATATATACCTCAGTTTCCTTATCCAATCATCCATTGATGGACGTTTAGGTTGGTTCCATGTCTTGGCTATTGTAAACAGAGTTGCAATGAACATGCGAGTGCAGGTATCCCTTCGACATGATGATTTCCATTCCCCTGGGTGTATACACTAGAAGGGGGATTGCTGGATTGTATGGAAGATCTATCTATAGTTCTTTGAGAAACCTCCATATTGTTTTCCATAGTGGTTATACTAATTTACAGTCTCACCAACAGTGTAGGAGTGTTCCTTTCTCTCCACACCCTCACCAGCATTTGTTATTCACCATCTTTTTGATTATAGCCAGTCTAACTGGGGTGAGGTTGTGTCTCAGTGTTGTTTTAGTTTGCATTTGCCTGATGATTAGTGAAGTTGAGCATTTTTTCATGTATCTGTTGGCCATTTGTATGTCTTCCTTTGAAAAATGTCTACTCAGCTCCTTTGCCCATTTTTTAATTGGGTTATTATTATTATTATTTTTACTGTATAATTGCTTGAGTTCTGTGTATATTCTGGATATTAATCACTCGTTGTATGCACAGTTAGCAAAAGATTTTCTCCCACTCTGTAGGTTGTCATTTTATTCTGTTGATTGTTTCCTTTGCGGTGCAGAAGCTTTTTAGGTTGATATAGTCCCATTTGTTTATTTTTTCTTTTGCTGCTTGTGCTTTCAGGCTCATGTTAATAAAGCTTGTGCCCAGACCTAGTTGCTGAAGTGTTTCACCTCTATTTTCCCTTAGTAATTTTACAGTTTCAGGTCTTATACTTAAGTCTTTAATCCATTTTGAGTTGATTTTAGTGTATGATGAGAGATGCATGTCTAGTTTCATTCTTCTGCATGTGGATATCCAGTTTTCCCAGCACTACTTGCTGAGGAGGCAGTCTTTTCCCCAATGTAGATTTTTGTTGCCTTTGTCTAATATCAGATGGCTACAAGCCTGAGGGGTGATTTCTGGGTTCTCAATTCTACTCCACTGGTCTGAATGTCTATTTTTATACCAGTACCATGCTTTTTTGGTTACAGTAGCTTTGTAGGATAATTTGAAGGCAAGTAGTTTTATCCTTCTGGCTTTATTTTTTTTGCTCAGAATTGCTTTGGCTTTTGTTTTTCCATATGAAAGGTAAGATTGTTTTTTCCATTTCTGTGAAGAATGTCATTGGTATTTTGAGGGGGATTGCATTGAATCTGTACATTGCTTTGGGTAGTATAGATGTTTTCATAATGTTAATTCTTCCAATCGAAGAGCATGGAATATCTTTCCATCTTTTTGTGTTTTAATTTCTTTCAGAAGCAGTTTGTAGTTCTCATTGTAGTGGTCTTTCTCTTCCTCGGTTAAATTGATCCCTAGATATCTTATTTTTTTGTGTGACAATTGTAAATGGGCGAACTTTATTTATTTCTCTTTCTATTAATTCATTATTTGAGTATATAAATGCTACTGGTTTTGGGGCATTTATTTTGTATCCTGCAACATTACTGAAGTTATTAACCAGCTCTAAGAATTTTTTGATAGAGTCTTTAAACTTTTCTGTATATAGTATCACATCATCCGCAAATAGAGGACGTTTGACTTCATCTTTTCTAATCTGGATTCCCTTTACTTCTTTCTCTTCCCTGATTGCTCTGGCTAGTATCTCCAGTATTATGTTAAGTAGAAGTGGTGAGAGTGGGCATCCTTGTCTTGTTCCTGTTTTTGAGGGAAAGGCCTTCAGTTTTTCCCCATTCAGCATGATACTGGCAGTGGGCTTGTCATAAGTGGCTTCTATTGTGTTGAGATATTTTCCTTCTATACCTAATTTGTTGAGAGTCTTTATCATGAAGGGATGTTGAATTTTGTCAAATGCTTTTTCAGCATATGTTGAGATAATCATATGGTCTTTGTCCTTGAGTTTGTTGATGTGATGTATCACATTTATTGACTTTCATATGTTGAACCATCCTTGCATCCCTAGAGTGAATCCCACTTGATCATAGTGCATAATTTTTTTAATATGTTGCTGTATTCTGATTGCTAATATTTGGTTGAGGATTTTAGCATCTAGGTGCATCAAGATATTGGCCTATAATTTTCTTTTTCTGTTGTGTCTTTATCTGGTTTTGGTATCAGAGTTATGTTGGCCTCATAGAATGAGTTTGGGAGAGTAGTAGTGTCTGTTTCAATTGGTTGGAATAGTTTGAAGAGAATTGGTATTAACTCCTCTAAAGTTTGATAGAATTCAGCTGTAAAACCATCTGGACCCAGACTTTACTTTGTTGGAAGATTGCTAATTACAGCTTCAATCTCTTTGCTTGTTATTTGTCTATGTTTTCTGTCTATTCTTGCTTTAGTCTTGGTAGTTTGTATGTGTCTAGAAACTTATCCATATCTTCCAGATTTTCATATTTGTTGTCATACAGTTGTTTATAATAGTCTCTAATGATTCTTTGTATTTCTGTGCTATCGGTTGCTATGTTTGCTTTTCATTTCTGATTTTCGTTATTTGGGTCTTCTCTCTTTTTTGTTAACCTAGCTAATGGTGTGTCTATTTTATTTATCTTCTTGAAAAACCAATTTTTGGTTTTGTTGATCATTTCTATTGTTTTTTGGGTCTCTATTTTATTTAGGTCTGCTTTGATCTTAATTATTTCTTTCCATCTACTACCTTTAGGTTTGGATTGTTGTTGTTTTTCAAATTCTTTGAGGCATAGTGTTAGGTTGTTTATTTGAAGTCTTTCCATTCTTTTGATATAAGCATTTATTGCAATAAATTTGCCTGTTAGTACTGCTTTTGCATTATCCCACAGGTTTTTATATGATGTATCTTTATTTTCATTAGTTTCTAAAATTTTTTTTATTTCCTGTTCGATTTCTTCTTGGACCCATAGGTCATTCAGGAGCCTATTATTTAGTTTCCATTTATTTGTATAGCTTCCAGAGTTTTGCTTATTGTTTATTTCCAATTTTAGTCCGTTGTGGTCTGAAAAATAGTTGGAATGATTTCAATTTTTTAGAATTTGCTGAGACTAGATTTGTGACGTAATATGTGCTCTATCCTGGAGAATGTACCATGAGCTGACGAGAAGAAAGTGTATTCTTTACTTGTTGGGTGAAATGTTCTTTATATATCTGCCAAGTCTGGTTGGTCTAAGGTGCAAATTAAATCCTGTGTCTCTTTGTTGACTTGTTGCCTTCCCATACTGAGAGAAGGGTGTTCAGATCACCCACTATTAATGTATTAGGTCCTATTTCTTTCTCTAGGTCTACGAGTATTTGCTTTATATATCTGAGTGATCCAGTATTGGGTACATACATTTTTATGATTGTTATGTCTTCCAGCTGGATAGATGCCTTTATCATTATATAGTGGTCTTCTTTGTCCCTTTTTGTGTTTTTTGGTTTAAA